GGAGTGGCATCTTTATGTATGAATTTGCATGGGATATGTGAAGCAGGTAGATGGAACAATCATAAAAGGATAAATGTCGGAGAACAAGGTTGAGGTGTAGGGTTTCTGGAAGTTGAGGTTTCATAACTTTTTAACTAAGTTTTGGGAAAACTGCATCTGTTGCCTTGCAAGGAGACCTTTCTCCTAATATTGATGTCATTTCTGATCTTGAAATCGGATGAACTTAATTTTGCGATGCTGTCCTTGCTTTTCAGTTAAAAAATCACTTGTCCACTTTGTCATTTTATTTTGTATAGGCCTTTCCTCGTGAATGAATTGGGACAACAACGCCTTCTTCATGATCGGAGAAAAGTTTATGAGGTTAGCATTTTGTCCTTCATGTAGAAAAATTAATGTACATATGTTTTTTCACTATTACGGTATTACCATATACTGTCTTTTGTTTCACTAGGACTGTGAGCAGTCCAGAAAAGATATTGCTGAAGAATTAAAGTGAATAAATGAAATTTATGAAGTTTGGGCATATAGATAATTTGGTCACTTTCCTTGTTCTTACTTATATTCCAGCAACTTGGACTTTCTATTATTAGAAACTATTATTTCCAGCAAGTTCATGAACTATCTTCTAACAAAATTTAATGGTTTTTCTTTGTTTTGTTTTGTTTTTTTTTTTGGTTATCCGAATTTCTATCCATTTTTCCTGTTGCTTTTTTGGTCTCGACTTCTCAATTATGCTCATTTGTAATTCCATGTGTGTGTGTGTGTGTGGGCGTTGATGTTAAAACTTAGCCTTTTTCATTGCTTACTGCTCTTTTTGGATGGAGTATTATAAAATGCTGGATGGGTCAATATATGTTGCTATTGCAGCGGCTTGAACTGTTTGGTATCCCTGTTCCAAGATACGCTTTAGTTAACAGGGAATTTCCAAGTCAAGATCTGGATTATTTTGTCGAGGAAGAAGATTTCGTTGAGGTCCATGGGAATCGATTCTGGAAGCCTTTTGTGGAGAAGCCTGTTGATGGTAAATATCAAGTATTGGTTATATGAGTTAAATCATTTATGCTTTTAGTAGTTGATACTGATCAGCAAAGTTCAACCTGAAGCTGTTAGTCTTAAAGTTTCACATGCTATTTGGTGACGCTATTTCTAAGTGCACTCTTCGTACATTTTACTCTGGAGTCTGGAATTCCTGCCAATTTCCATCTTTTGTTATTTGAAGGCGATGATCACAGTATTATGATATATTACCCTAGTTCAGCTGGTGGGGGAATGAAGGAGTTGTTCCGCAAGGTGAGATCTTGTCCAAGATGTGTGCTTTCATTCCTTCTTAGACTGTGGCTCTGCATCCATACATCTACTGTTCCACAACTGTATACATTAGCCACTTAGGGCAGTAAGTCTACTAGTGTTTTGTGAAGGGTTGTGAATAAATTAGCACATAGCTCCCTCGAAAGCAGCGAGTTCTCTAGATGTATCCTTTCCCCGGAAAAGTTTTATATTATATCCTTTGATTGTCAGAATTGTGAATTAAATCAGCCCACAGCTCCCTTGAAAACTAGTGAGTTCTCTAGATGTATCTTTTGCCTGGAAAAGTTGTAGATTTTATCCTGTGATTTTTTCATGTTCTGTTGAATTGCTCTTCTGAACATATAGGTCAAGGTAGCATACTAACTCATGTTATCCTACTACCTTCCCATTAATAGTTGTTAAGCAATCATGTTTTATTGCATGAAGAAACTCATTGATTTAGGTTTAGCTTTTGGTAAGTTGTTTTGTCTATGCTTGGTGGCTGCATTATAATTCACCCTTTCAAGTAGAGTCTTATAGAGTTCCTCTCAGAAAAACTACAAGGTCTCTGCTCTATGAGCACTGTATGTCAACATCCTTGAAATTTCTTATAACTATGTTCTGTGACTTTTTAGGACAATTTTTGTTTTGCTTATGTTATATTGTTGTTTGATTCAAATAACTTGAATCAGTACATGTTATGAAAAATGGTTTTGTTGTTGACAATACATTCTGAAATAGATAATAACAGTATCATCATAACTTGGTCTATGCCTTGTACAAAAAACTGCGCCCGTGTTATAGCTATAGTATCCATTCCTGATCAGAAATGTGCCTTAGTTTGTTGATACTCTCGTGCCATGATAATTTTTAAGTTGAACTTGGCTATATTTTCAGGTTGGTAATCGATCAAGTGAATTTCACCCAGAGGTCAGAAGAGTGAGGCGTGAGGGGTCTTACATATATGAGGAATTTATGCCTACTGGGGGAACAGATGTGAAGGTTGTTTGCCCTGTCCTTTGTAATATACTAATATCCAGTGAATAAGTCCTAGAATTCCTGATATAGTATATGCCAAAAGATATGGAAGATTTTGTTTTATGATTGTTATCTTTAACACTCAAAGAACTGTGTGAATTTTATGGTTATCCACTTGTTTTCTCCTCCCCATGAACCTCTATTTTTTCTACCCTGAAAATGTGAAATATAAATCACATCAAAATGTTGCGAAGAAATCGTTGTTTTAGACTTTTTGTACACTTTGAATTGTTAACTTGATTCCTTTTATAAATCTACAAGGGTGTTGTCTACATTTTATTGTAGGTTTATACCGTGGGCCCTGAGTATGCTCATGCAGAGGCAAGGAAGTCCCCTGTAGTTGATGGTGTTGTTATGAGAAATCCTGATGGTAAAGAAGTAGGTATTTTAAATCCTTGGTAGCCGTTCATGCATTTGTTCCATTCCAGTTTTCGGAAATTGGTGAACATAGCGAATCGTGATTTTTATCCTGTTTCTGCTTAAATTTTATGTATCTAAATTGCGCAGTGCAACTTTTGGTACCACTGGTTTATGAGCAGAGATGCAGCTTTCTGCACGTCTGATTGTGATTATTAATTGTGATTATTAGCTTACTTCTGCAGTCCTCATTATTTTGCCTCCAGTCTCTGTATTTTTTTTTAATCGGTATCTGCATTTTGATTTTCATGCATTTCATCTTGTGAATGTAATAATAACTATCTTATCAAAACTTAACTTCAGATGTGTGGTGTGTCTTAAGTTCTTTCTTGACAACAAACCAAAGGTGCAAAGTTTTGATATGCCTTGCTACATCGAGTTGTTCATTGGAGAATCAATATCTTGATTAAATATTGGCTTTTAGAGTATTTTTTTTTTTAACTTTCCAGGTCAGATATCCTGTCCTTCTTACTCCTGCAGAGAAGCAAATGGCAAGAGAAGTTTGCATTGCATTTAGACAAGCTGTAAGTCGATACTTTCAAGGTGTATTTTTTATTGGAATGCCATTTATTTGTTTTTATTTAAAACTTCTATCATGATAATAGTTGAAACAATGGCTTCCAGTAACTGTTCCAATTTACCGCATTCTCCACTTCCTGTGCCCTCTGTCACCGTATTCTTCATTAATTTTGGATAATCTTTCAGATTTTCATGAATCAAGATGGTCTTCAAGTGAGATTTGTAGCCAAAACTATCTTACTGGAACTAGATTATGTGAACAAACTTTTTTCTATATCTTTGTTGGGTCTAGTTGTATTATGATTTCTCTACAAGTTTCTATACCACTTGGTGCCATCCATCATGAGAAATTTTTATTATTAAAGTAATTCTTTTTTTATATTTCAGGTCTGCGGATTTGATCTATTGCGTTGTGAGGGACGATCCTATGTGTGTGATGTCAATGGATGGAGCTTCGTCAAGAACTCTTACAAGTACTCTTTCTTGTTTCTGATCTTGTTTTTCTTGATTGTTCTATTTCATAAGGACTTGTCACATGAGAATAACCAGGACTTAGGACTATTCTGATAGTATTTTTGGACCTGGTCCAAGAAAGAAAGTTACCCTCCATCTCTTGTTGGTCTTTTGGACTGGAGATCGTATAGCAGCTTTCTACTAACTAATGGATTTTCTTTGCAAGCATCCGTCAATTTAAGAGTTTTGCATAAACTCTTAGGGGACGCTTGGATATGAATTTTTTTGTTTCGTTTGGGTTTTTTTGTTTGGTTTGGTTAATTTTGAAAAATGTGGTATGGTTAGTTGGTAGTGGGATTTTGAGTTTATATTAACATAATATTTAAAATAAAATAATTAAAGCTGATTTGATGTAAAAGTAGGAGAGATGATGTGACGTGATGGTCAGTTAAAATTATGTGAGTGGATAAATAGTGAATTAAAGTTGATGTAATGTGTAAGACTGATTGATTGATATTATTTAATTATATTGATAATATTGAGGATATAAATGAGGTTGAGTTAAGCTTAAGTTAGATTTGAGTTAAAAAAAAGTGATTGATTAGTAATGATTGGATTTATGTTTTGTATCCAAGCATCCTCTTATATTTCTCATTCACGTTTTCTTCCATTTTTCCTCTTCTTTTTGTCCTCATGACTGTTGATTATTCCTTGCTAAATGCAGATATTATGATGATGCTGCATGTGTATTGAGGAAGATGTTTCTTGATGCAAAAGCCCCACATCTCTCTTCAACAATTCCTCCAACTCTGCCATGGAAAGTAGAGCCAGTTCAGCAGTGTGAAGGACTAACACGACAGGGAAGTGGGATAATTGGGACATTTGGGCAGTCTGAAGAGCTACGTTGTGTAATCGCCATTATCCGTCAGTAAGATGTTTCACCTTGATGAATGCTTCCATGTAATTTTTCTTGGAGTTTCTCACTCGAGGTACTATTCTTTGCTTGACAGTGGTGACAGAACTCCAAAGCAGAAAGTCAAGTTGAAAGTCACTGAAGAAAAACTTTTAAATTTGATGTTAAAATATAATGGAGGAAGGCCTAGGGCAGAGGTGCTTAATTATTCTCTTTATGTCTCTATTGTTCTTTTCAGCATCATGTACTTGCATTGTAACTTTCTTGGATGCTTCTTCAGACAAAGCTTAAAAGTGCAGTTCAGTTGCAAGATCTTTTGGATGCAACACGAATTTTAGTTCCTCGTGCTAGGTGAGTTCTTTAATTGAGTTCCATAGACCAACTTACTGGTGAAGTATGATGTTCATCATTGTAGCTCATCATGTGCTTACCTCGTACACTTATGTTCCTGAAGGGAATATAACTTAGCAAGGTCACTATTTATTAATTATTATAATTATCTTCCAGACATGGTCGAGAAAGCGATAGTGAGGCTGAAGACATTGAGCATGCTGAAAAGCTTCGCCAAGTGAAAGCTGTACTTGAGGAGGTTTGTTTAAATAATAGTTTTCCGTTGTTAATACAAAGTTATTGAGTTTTCTATTTGACCAAGTTTAGATGTTGGGACATTGTAGTAGGTTCATCATTGGACAGAACTATTCTGTAGAAACCTCTCTCTCTCTCTCTCTCTCACGCACACACACACACACACACACACACACACATGCATGCACGCGTGCTTTTGCCTAGTATCCTGTTACAGAATTTCAACACACACCCACGGTACATAGCAAACAACTGAATCTTGAACTATTTTGTGTCCAGGGGGGGCATTTTTCCGGCATATATAGAAAGGTCCAACTTAAGCCATTAAAGTGGGTAAAGGTCCCCAAAGCAAATGGTGAAGGAGAAGAGGAACGACCTACTGAGGCCCTGATGGTTCTTAAATATGGTGGTGTTCTTACTCATGCTGGCAGAAAACAGGTTACAATTGTTGCATCGTGCATGTTCTCTCTCTCTCTCTCTATATATATATATATATATGTGGGTTATCGGAAGATGAAACATATCAGTAATATTGTGTACCATGAGATTAATATGTCTGAATAGCTTCTTCAAACAAACCATTTATATGCTCATCGTTTTCGACAGGCTGAAGAACTGGGTAGGTATTTTCGGAATAATATGTATCCAGGTTAGCAATTAGCTCTTAAGATCTCCAATTGTGAATTTTCTGCCTGACCTGGCATTTTATCATGCAAATCATCTATGGGTGCATAGTTTACACTTGAACTTGGGAAATCATGATCCTTTTATTCTCTTTAATGATATTCGGAGCCATTTCTGCGTGAAGATGCTATTTTGAATTCCTAAAGTTCTCGGTGCTGTCTGTTTTAGGAGAAGGTACTGGCCTCCTTCGTCTGCACAGTACATATCGTCATGATCTGAAAATATATAGCTCAGATGAAGGCCGTGTACAGGTACACTTTGATTTATAGTATAGTTTAGAGGGTCTTGTTATGTTCTCTTTCTTTTTAATTGGTACGGAGATGCATTCACCCAGGATTCTTGTTTTGTATTCAACATTGACATGGTGACGTAACACATTTAACTTAACTGTATGCCAAGTCAGATGTCAGCAGCTGCTTTTGCTAAAGGTCTTCTCGACTTGGAAGGACAATTGACACCTATTCTTGTAAGTAAATAATATATGCTGGTGCTTAATTTTACTTCAGGAGGAGTGAACAAATCTTGTGTTCTTTTATGTATTCGAGGTTTCACTTGTCAGCAAGGACTCCTCAATGTTGGATGGACTTGACAATGCCAGTGCTGAGATAAAAGACGCCAAGGTTGGTCTTGCTAGCTAACATCTTCTTTTGAAATGACATTAGGAAGTACAGGGGCATGATTGAAAAAACAGATGAGTTTAATATAATCTTGCCTTAATAAATAGCTCCATTTACTAGCTTGGGTGAAGCTATACTCATAGTCGATCTCAATGAGACTGCACTTTAAAATACTTCAACCATTTCTCATCAGTCATTCCATTTTAGTTGTTTTTTCCGTGTAATTAAGCTTTTTATTTAATTCTGCTTATTGTATTTTATTGGATCGACCAAAAGTAATATAAGTAACTTGGAGTTGCTTTCGAAAATAACTCACTAATTGATAAACAACCGTGACCTGGTTTATGGATTTTCAAGAATTTATGTCACTTAATCAACCTCTTGGTGTTGGATGCTGCATAAAATCTTCCAACTAATTTATTTTCTTTAATTAATATGTAACCAAGCTGTATTCCTGATTGAGGCCCTCCAGAGTTTATAAGATGTAAGTTTTAATAGTGAAGCCTTTTTCCAGTCTGTCATAGTTTATGTTGGTGAAACTTTTTCCTCTATGCGTGTTCCATAGAAAGGTTTCTTCCAGTGGTGGTGCATTACTCAATCTAATACTGTGTCCACGGATAAGAAGCTTTGGTGTGTAGACATAAGTAGGAGAAGCCTAAAGATGAACTGTTATCTATCTACATATATAAATCCATATATACTTTTCACCTTGTAAAAGTCCCTTGTACGGTCTTCTTAAATTTCTTGAAAAATGCTTGTTATATAATATCAACCGACTTACAAGCCTCAACAGCCTTCCTATTTGATTGAAGTACATGGTTCGTGATCATAAAGTCCACTTTCAGATTTGAAATTCCAGTACTTGAATATCGAATATTGAAATTTGTAATATAAGCTGTCTTGGACTTATGTCCATCTTATAAAACCTCATTTGCTGTTATTCTTTGTCCAGGCCAGGTTGAATGAGATTATAACTTCTGGAATTAAAGCTGTTCAAAGTAGTGGCTTACTGGAAAAGCCGTGGATGGCTGATGGAGCTGGGCTACCTCCAAATGCCTCTGAATTATTACCCAAATTGGTAAAAAGAAGCCAACATTCACTGCATAGAATTAGTTCCGTAATTCATGTTCTCATATTATTAAGTATGTTATCTTAATTTACCCAAACATATAAATGATGGTTAGTACTCTCATTATGGTTGCTATTAGGTAAAGCTAACCAAGAAGGTTACTGAGCAAGTAAGACTTCTTGCTAAGGATGAAGATGAGGAGCTTGTTGAGGCAAGTGCATATGATGTAATTCCTCCATATGACCAAGCAAAGGCGCTTGGTAAAACAAATATAGATGTTGACCGGATAGCTGCAGGGCTACCTTGCGGTAGTGAAGGATTTCTTCTCATGTTTGCTCGCTGGAGAAAACTTGAGAGAGATTTGTATAATGAACGTAAAGAGTAAGTCTTATCTAACCATCTCCCCTGTTGTAATTCCATTTTTTTTCATTAATCAATTATCTTCAGTAGTCCTTATTTAAAGAGAGTCTTGTCTAACCATCTCCCCTGTTGTAATTCTATTTTTTTACATTAATCAATCATCTTCAGTAGTCCTTATTTATTGAGTTCAGCTAACTCGCAGTAGAATGTTTAACTAACTTCACAGTCTGAACATAATTGCAGGCGGTTCGATATAACACAAATTCCTGATGTTTATGACTCTTGCAAGTAAGAAGCATTATCCATTTTTTGGTATTATGTATATGCAGGTATATGTTGATGAGGTTTATCCATGTCCGTCTTACTTTCACCAGGAATAATTGAACATTTTTCTTGTGATGATGTTCTAAAATTTCTTTCAAGATTCACTGATTAAGCAATTGATATTCTGTTTTGGGAACATGCAAGATATTGGGTTCTTATTCTTCCTTGTTCTGCATTACTTCCAACAGATATGATCTCTTGCACAATGCACATCTAAAACTAGAAGGATTAGATGAACTATTCCAAGTTGCTCAGGTAACAAATTACAATGTTTGTAATGTGTGTTGTTTTTCAGGTTCATTCCTCTTCAACACC